ATAATTTGCTCATTTGTTGAATGTTTATTATTCTTTGGTCTAGAAGATGTTAAGGCCTCGTTTGGAATGAGCCCACCGAGGAAGATGGTAGGCATGGGTGAATGAACAGCATTGGGGATCTTGATGAAAGATACTTAATCCAGTTCTTGTTGTAAAGTGCATGAGACAAGCAGGGAAGGATTCCTGATGGAAGTGGAAGCTAAATGGAGAACTAAAGGATGAGTAAGAGTGTGTTAGATTGAAAGGGGTGTGTCTGTATCCATTCCTGTCTTGGGTGGCTCTAAGTGATAGTAGGGGAGAGCCCTGCAGCCCTGGTCCAGACAACTATTTCTGGCTTGTCGCATGCATTATTGGTCTCCAGCCCTATCTCAGTAGGGATGACAAATTGGAGGGTGTCCAGGAGATAGTGGTCAGAGTGGTAAAAGGACATTCAAAGTAGCGGGGGAAGAGCAATGAAACAAAGTACCTAAGTAGACAGATTTTATTACCTAAGATTAATGCTACTTATTAATATTAGAAGGTATTAATAGCTGCCATTATGTTGGGTTTTTCATTTAATAGAATTCGTTATACCCACATCAGCAAGGCTGTGTTAGTGTGGGCCGTTGGCCAAGATAAGGGAATGGCCTCATTATGTGGGGCTGGTCACATAATGGTATTCTGTACTGGGAATCTACCTCTATTACCTGCTACATGTTGTTAATTGATAAATGTATATTGCAGAAAAAAGAACCACCAGCAAACTGGTTAAATTGACCAGCGCTTGACCCACATGTAAATAATGGATGGCCCTGGAGCAATCATTCTCTGTTCAGTTGTAGGCACATGGAATTAATTCTGAGTGCTGCTGACATTCGCCCTCATGAAGCATACAGTAGCTCCAGCATACTTGCTGGGGGCCTGCTATCTTCAGCACTGCTTTCCAGTTCAGCAGTCTCCACCATTCCTCATTGTCTCTTGACTTGAAACTGTGTGTCCATTACCGTTGGCCCTTTGCACTGATGTTCTCCTTGTGATAGAGAAACATTTCCCTCTCCCCATGCCTTTAGTCACACTGAAAACAATGAAACGTAAACCAAATAAAGGTTGTGTCTTCTAGTAAAAAATGGTGGAAAGCATATTTCCTTGCGGGGTTAAGAAACATTCACATGTGTTTAGCATGAAAACCAAAGGTGTCAGTCTTGTGCATCTCCTCTGTTCACATTATTTTCTTGGGTGCTGTAGGTCTTGGCTTCAGGATTAACACCAGCAGCCCCGGGCAATGTCCAGAGCAGGTGCTGTTGACTTTGTGTTTTTTTTTTTTTTAATAATTATTATTTATTTTTACATCATTGTTCATTTTTTAAAAAATTTATTTATGCATGCATGCAAGAACTGGGGTATAGGCGAGAGGTATGGGTGATGAGAGGATACACCAGAGACAGAGTGGGGAACAGAACAGGCAGACTGACTGAAACACACTGCTGAGGGGAGCAGCGGGCATGACAGGAGAGGTCTGCTGTGCCATGTGGGTTGCTCCCTGGCTGGCTGGGGATTGAACTCATGCTGCAGTGTCTGTGGATAGCTTCATAGGTTGCGCCTCAACCTCTTTCACCACCAGGGAGTCCCCATTGTTCATTTTTAAACAATATTTGCTTCCACCCACCCCCTCAGGTGTAGTCCCCATAGAATTTCCTTCACCAATGCACCCGTGCACCATCACCTCAGTCCCCTGTGCTCCTCCCTCCCTCCCTCTCATTCCTCTCCCTCCTCCTCACCTGCAGTATGTCTCTGATTTATAATTGTCTGTTTTTGCTTTGTTGTGTTTTGTACTGCTATTATTTTTTTACACTGATGTCTTATTTGGTTCCCCTATATCCCTGCAATAAGAGAAACATCCGATATTTTTCTTTTTCCTTCTGGATTATTTCACTGAGCATATGTTGACTTTGATTATCACCCTCTCCTTGGTGGCACCAAATACCAGCACTGTCCACACATATGCTGGCCACATTTTAAGGGTCATGTATAGGATTTTCAGCAAAACCTTAACAGAATTTCTTCTAATGGATCCTTGCTTCCCTTTTCTATTTTACTCAAGTTAAAAATAATGTGATGTTTTATTGGGCTGACCTTTCTGTTTCATTGTCTATAGTCAATTATGTCTAAAATAACTTGTTTTTTCTGCAGCCAGCAATTGATTTTTGGATTCACAAGTCTGGCTCCTGCCTCCCATCTCTTACCACTTCATGGCTGGGTAAATGGATTTTTAGTTTCAGGCTCTGTCCTCTCTAGGCACCATTGTCCAGCTCCTGAGCTAGTCCCATTTTCAGTGGTGGTGGTGGGAGCAGATGAAGAAACCATGGAGATGAGCATTAAGGTTGTCGTGCTGTCAGGATGGATTTACCTCTTATCCAGATCTGGTGCTTGGCTTCTGCTCTGTCCCTCTGAACAAATGCTAGTCCTGAGGACCTTCCAGAACTTTCTGTTTTTGTTCGAAAAGTTAATGTGGTCAGATGGAGAATTTCCCCATTCAAGAGGTGGCCTCTTTCTGCATTGATCAGGAGAATGGATTATGAACAAGGAGGTCATAAAGAAAGTAAAGAACTAAGTCTACTGATTAAATTTATTAGCCACATCCACTGACCAATATGGGGTAAACTCCACTGCATCAGAGAAACTGATGATGTCAAGTTCAAAAATAATAGTGTTTAAAGCTTATGTGACTTCAAGTTTATAGAAACCCCCTTCAAAGGAAAATTGCTGGAAAATTATTGTCCCCATAGAATTATTTTGCCATAGTTTAAATAAGTACAAATATTAACCTAAGTACAATCTTTTTAAAAACTAAAACAAATGTATAAATTTAAATGCAAATAATACTGTGCAAGCATTAACATTCAGGTAAAGTTTTACAAATTTTTTTTTAAAGATTTATTTATTTTTTATACAAGAGCTGGGGTACAGGCCAGAGGTGCGGGAGGGTGAGAGGATTCACCAGAGACAGAGCAGGGAGCAGGACAGGTAGACTGATGAAACACACTGCTGAGGGGAGCAGCCGGCGAAACAGGAGAGGTCTGCTGCACCATGTGGGACCCTGGCTGGCTGGAAATCAAACCTGCGCTGCAGAGGCTGCAGACAGCTTCACGGTGCTGAGCTCAACTTGCTGTGCCAGCGGGGAGGTCCTGAATTTTTACAAATTTATAAAATATAAACAAATCCACAAAGCCAATAAAAATTCCTCTATTATAAATATCAAGAGACTTGTGTTTCTACAGGATGCAGTGATTTCTCTTCTTGAGAATGGGCACATCATTTGTGCTGACATCCATCCTGTTCACTTTCCATTTCCAGTTCCAGCAGTTCTGTTTGATGCCATGGCTGTAAATACAAACCTCCACGAGGGCATAGGCCTTCTGTGGTTGGAGTTGGCCAGTCAGTTGATCCATAAGGCACTTAGGTTGATTATTTTTAGATTTTTATCAAAATGCAAGCATAAAATTTAAAAAGAATGCCGCAAACTCATAAACTCAGAGCGAATGTCCAAAGGCCCCTGTCTGAGAAGTATGAAAAGTCTCTGATTTGGTTGTCTCCTTGGTAAGGGACCAGAAATGGAGGGAATGACAAGGAGCTTAAGGTGTTGTAGGTGCCCAAGTCAGTTTATATCTGCTTGAATCTTTCTGAAAGCTGGTCTGTTCTCAGATTTATTGGGGTAACTGAAGCAGTTCAATCACTCATTTGAGTTCCTGACCTCTGCTGTCGTTATGGATCTGCTTTTGTGTCACCAATCCTCTCTGATAGTGGCTGCTCGCATTCTGCCTAGTGCTGGGCACTAGGAAGTAGGGGCTGATGTAGTGGCATTTGGTCTCTCGTTGTCAGGAAAGACAGATTGCAGCCCTGGTCTGAAAAACATTCATGCTATTTTTATGTTTGAAAGGATATGTTTATCATCAGGAGAATTTTATATAATAGCCATTGAGCGGACCCACGAGAACTGCATAGATTTTGGTGGTAGAGGACCTTTCAGCGTAAGGAAGGAATTCTGACAAAGGAAATTTCCAATGACCTTCAGGGATCCATGAGCTTGGCTGACTTTCATAAGATGATGGATTAAAAAGAATTTGGACTACTCTGTAACTGACAGTTGTAAGCCCCAAGCCTAATGAAGCATTTTGAATTGTCACTGAAATATATTGTTTTCAGCTTTCCAAATATTGATCCACCTGGGGGAAACGGAGGCAGCATAACACCATGGCTTGGTTCTGCAGCTCGCTCTCCATGCTTTTTGGTCAGTTTATCAAGGATCATCATAACTTTCTCTTGCTTCCTGAGCCACAATCCTGAATGCCTCAAGAGTCGAAGCATCAAACCTTCAGGAATGCTTCAAGTGCCTCTTCAAACTTATTTGAATAATGTACTTAACAATTTGACCTTTCCACTATTATTTCCCCTGAAGCTCAATAACCTCTAATGAGTTATATAGTTTATACTTTTATAAAGCCAAGTATATTTAAGAGTAAAGGGGAGTGAAAGAAAGATCATGTACACCCATGCAGTAGTTAGAGG